CCCCAAGCTCCCCGCCCCCCTCCCACTCCCTGACCTGACTCTTTCATCCAACATACTCCTCACACCCCTGCCCTGACTCCTGGAGCCAGACTCCAATCACCTGCCCTGAGCTCCCCCTCCACACCGGCACCCCCCAATCACCTGCCCTGAGCTCCCCCTCCACACCGGCACCCCCCAATCACCTGCCCTGAGCTCCCCCTCCACACCGGCACCCCCCAATCACCTGCCCTGAGCTCCCCCTCCACACCGGCACCCCCCAATCACCTGCCCTGAGCTCCCCCTCCACACCGGCACCCCCCAATCACCTGCCCTGAGCTCCCCCTCCACACCGGCACCCCCCAATCACCTGCCCTGAGCTCCCCCTCCACACCGGCACCCCCCAATCACCTGCCCTGAGCTCCCCCTCCACACCGGCACCCCCCAATCACCTGCCCTGAGCTCCCCCTCCACACCGGCACCCCCCAATCACCTGCCCTGACCCCCAATCACCTGCCCTGAGCCCCCCCACACCTGCACCCCCAATCACCTGACCTGAACCCACTCCCCAAGGGGAGGCTGTGATAGGACAGTACCTGTAAGAAAGGTAAGTTACTTGCACCCCTGGGCCAGGGAAGGGAATCAACCGGCCGTGGAGGTCGGAGACAGGGTCAGCCCGGGTGCTGGCTCCAAGGATTGGGCCATGGCTGCCGAGCTCCCTTGTCTCTGCAAAGGCCAAGGGGCAGCCTGGGATGTACCCAGCTCTGGGCATCACCAGGGGCCTCCAGGTCTGGCCCATAATTCATTCAGGCTCCAGGCTGGATGTTCCGTGGTCCAGTGTGTGCCATAGGGCCCGGACAGTAGCAGGGCCGGGATGCTGAGTGGAGCCAGTGCCGGGGCATTTCTGACACTGACCGATCTGTGCAGAGCGCACAGGACCAAGCATGTCAGAAGCGTGTTCCCTGGTTTTCCCTGGGCTGTGACACACCTCCCTGGTTTTCCCTGGGCTGTGACACACCTCCAGCACATGTTGGAAACACAGGCCGGGGCCCCATCCCCAGGGACTGGCAGAGAAGCTGACTCCCACCCAGACCGGTTTGGACACTCGGGCATCTGCTGCAGGTTTGTTATACTCACATCTGTGACATTGACCACACCAATCTGGGGCTGAGACAGGTCGATATCAAACGTCTTCTCCCAGTATGGGATCAGCTGAAGGGGAAGAAAAAGAGCAAAGGATCCTGAGCACTGCAACAAAGCAATGCCTGTGCTGAACCATGCCACCGGATCTAAATGGAGACTCCTCATTAGTTGTTAGCACTATAGGGCTTCTGACACACCATCAAACTGTTCAGGTTTCATTCAGCAGAGGGCAGCGGTGACACTCCCTACTCATTGTATTTCACATTCTAATCTACAACCAGTGCCCTCCCCGGCAAGGCAGATTCACCCTGAGGGGCAGGTGGCAGAATATGAAACACTTGTTCTCCCTACAAAAGGATTTTTCCCTCTCTCAGTATTCACACCTCCTCATCAACTGTTGGGAGTGGCCACAACCACTGACTGAACTGGCCCCATTAGCACCGCTCCTCCACTTGATAAGGTAACGCCCTGCTTTTCATGTGCTGGTCTACTTAATTTCCACTCTATGCATCTAAGCTGATGCCCTAATAAATCGGCTAGTCTCTAAGGTGCCACGGGACTCTTCATTTTTGCAGCTACAAATTAACACAGCTTCCCCCCTGAAATTGTGCATGGGCTCTTGGTACATGGCATGGCCCATCCCACAGCCCTGGAGGCTCTCATCCGTCTGCATGCACCAAAACTGCATTAGGGGCAGCTGGGAGTGGCTGGGGAAGGGGCAGCTGAGGTGGCTGAGGGAAGGGCACTTGAGTTGGCTGGGGGAGGGGCAGCTGGAAAGGGCTGGGGGAGGGGCTTTTTGCAGCAGGTCTCCAAAGCTTAGGCCGTGCTATATGGCGAGGGGCATCTGCACCCAGCAGGCCCCGTGGTTCCTGTGCTGAGCCCTGTGGGCCGCGGGAGATGGCTGTGTTCCTGCTGCAGAGCTCTGGGGCAGATGTGACCAGCAGGGGATGTCCCCCGCGGATCCCTGGGACAAGGCCCATGGGGCGGGAACGTCTGGCAGGCTAGGGATGGTCGTGCAGCGTGCAGTGACGGGGCAGCCCCTAGGCGCAGCCCGCTGCAGTTCACCAAGCCTGCCTCGAAGGAGACTTTTACTCTGGGCGAGGTCAAGGTCTGACCATTTCTCCTACTGTCCCGTGGGCTGCACCCCACTGCACCCTCAAGGAGACAGCTCTCCCATGCCTGCCAGGGGTAGGGAGGCATCACTCAGCTAGGGCAGGTGGGGCTGGCCTGTACCTTAACCCAGTATTTCCTGGCTGTCTCGGAGGTGCAGCCAGGTTTCTGGAAAAGCTCAGGATCCTGCACTAACTGTGCTCGGAGACAGTGAGTTTGTCTGTCCGTGCGTCTATCACAGGCCTGGCAGACCAAAGTGCCCAGCTGGAATCTGCCTGGTTCACCTGAGTGCTACTACTGTCAAGGGAGGATTATAAGGACGTGTTTTGAGATGCTACCAGCATTCATCCCCTACAGGAATATCTGAGCGGTTGTGCTGGGAGCCTCTGGGATGGTCAATCGCCAGAGAGGAGAGAGACATGAACTTACGTGATGTGCTCAACTCCCTGTGGCCCAGGCTGCCCGTCAGAGAAGGGCCAGCCACACACATCGGGGGGAGGGGTGTTAAAGAGGACCACAGACCCTGGTTGTTCTTTTGTCTTTGTGAAGATGAGTTATGCAAGTTGATTCCTCCCCTCCGCGGAGTGTGCAGCTCCAGGACGCCAGAGAGGAGAGAGACATGAACTTACGTGATGTGCTCAACTCCCTGTGGCCCAGGCTGCCCGTCAGAGAAGGGCCAGCCACACACATCGGGGGGAGGGGTGTTAAAGAGGACCACAGACCCTGGTTGTTCTTTTGTCTTTGTGAAGATGAGTTATGCAAGTTGATTCCTCCCCTCCGCGGAGTGTGCAGCTCCAGGATACAAGCCCCTGTCCATGGCTTGTATCTTGACACTGGATCTCTGTTCTCCCCAAAGTGTGTGTG